AAAAAAAGAAAGTGAAAAGATACTCCTAAAGAATGAAAGAAAATACCTGAAAATCATGTATCTGATCAAGAATTTGCATCCAAAATGTTCAAAAAATTTTACAATAATAAAAAACAGAATTACTCAATTTTTCAAATGGGCAAAAAATTTCAATAGACATTTCTCCAAAGAAGGTATACAAATGACCAATAAGTATATGAAAAGATGTTCAACACTATTAGGCATTAGAGAATGCAAAGCAAAACCACGAAGAGTTCTCCTATACACCCACTAAGATAGTAGTAATTTAAAAGGATAATAACAAGTGTTGGCAATAACACAGAAAAATTTGTCAGGCTGATTCTATCAAAGAGGTGTTTTGACTTCCAGGCACTGGTCTTATACTAACTGGTGTGAGTGTGGGGTAAATTAATACATACAAATGCTGTTTGGCTTCCAAACTACCCAATCTAAAGTCTGATGCAAAATAGTCCATGATTTGCGGCTTGAGGCATCAGAATACCATACAGTGCTAGTACTTAAAAAAAAAAATGGTTCTTTGACAAGTTCAAACACTCACACATCACTGAGAGGATTATAAAATGGTGCAGCCACTTTGCAAAATAGTTTGGCAGTTTCTCAAAATGTTAAAATCACAGAGTTATCATCCCAAGAGAACTAAAAACACTTGTACACAAATGTTTATAGCAGCATTATTCATAATAATCAAAAACTAAAAACAACCACAATGTACACTGAAAAATGAATAAACAAAATACAGTACATCTACACAATGGCTTTTATTTGGTCATCAGAAGGAATGAAAAAAAAAGAAGCAATGAAATACTGGTATGTGCTATAATGTACATATATGAGCCTTGAAAACATTATGATAAGTTAAAAAAAAGCCAGACCCAAAAAACCACATGTGTGATTCTTTTTATACATAAAATGTCTAGAATAGGCCATCCATAGAGACAGAAGGTAGACTGGTGGATGCCAGAGGCTGGGGAAGAGGGTGGAGACTGGCTGCTAATGGGTATGTTAAGGCTTGTATCTAGATGTCCCCCGAAAGGCTCATGCACTCATCAGTGAGGCTTTTCAGAGCTGGCGGGATTAGTGTGCGTGATACTGGGATTGAGGATGTGTGGCACTAAATGAGTCCACTGACTGGAATTAGCACAGTTCTGGTATGGATGGCACCACCCAAAAGGTCTGTAGCCTGTTTGGGATAAAAGGGAAAGGCAGGCTTGCTTCTGCTGCTGCTCGCTGCTGCCTTCTGCTTGTCCCACCATGACATGAGCTGCTACTTCTCTGCAATGCCCCTCTGCCGTGCCATACTGCCTTAGAGCCAGCTGACTCTGGACTGAAACCTTACAAACTGTGAGCTGAAATAAATCCTTCCTCCCTTAACTCTGGGTGCTGACATTTTGTCTCAGCAACCACAGAAAGTAACTAAGACAGTGTTTGGGGTAGTTTAGATAAAAATGTGGTAAAATGTTTTGAAACTATATAGTGGTGATGGGATTTATACAACATTATGAATATCCCAATGACCACTGAACTGTACACTTGAAAACGCTGAATTTTATGGTATGGAAATTGTATCTTAGTAAAACTGTAAGAAAGCTAAAATTTACAAAAGTTGCTGGGCCTGGTAGCACATGCCTATAATCCTAGCACTTGGGAGGCTGAGGCAAGAAGGATCACTGTGAGTTCAAGGCCAGTCTGGAGTAGATAGTGAGTTCAAAGCCAGCCTTAACTATATAGCAAAACCCTGTTTCAAAAATAAATAAACTAAGTAATTAATTAATTTTACAAGTGGTAATATGGACATTGGAATCAGAATTGGATTTACCAATTCTGAGGTCATCTTAAATTGCAACTCTTGTCACCTAATTAAAGCTCACCCACCACATGCTGAGCTTCTTGAAGGTAGGAACATATCCTGTTCACCCTTTCATCCTCTTTTCTCTGGCATTCATCCCAGCGTCTATGGCATGGTACACCCTCAAAACGGAGTAAATACATCAAATCTAAGCTCCGCCACAACCTAGCTGTGCGATCTCCAGCACAGTTCTTCATTCTCTAAGCACATTTGCAAAGCAAGCGATACTATTCTCAAAAGGGAGATGGTTATGTGAAGCTGCTAGCCCACAGAACACACTCAACAGGTGAATTCTCTTCCCCCTCACAAGGTTACTAGCAGTATCACTTCACAAAATTGAGGAGTGTTCTCTATTCCAGACCCGTAACTTTTCCTCCTCTCATCTGTAACTCTAGAAGCATGTCGAGTGGGAGGTACTCAAGGGCTAGTGAGTACAAACAGAAAACAATGGAGATCTTGCCAGGTAAGGCTGGTGTAAGCCTCTTGCAAAGGAAGAGTAGGGGGGATTATGACTGCAGACACACTTACTTTGATGGTCCTGTCACCAGAGGCGGACACAATGTACTTGTCATCAAAGTCTACTACATTGACAGCAGCACGGTGGCCAACCAGGACTCGGCGTAGAGTGATATCAGTGGCAGAAGCCATATCCCACACGGCAATGGAGCGGTCCTTGGAACAAGTCACCATCAGTCCATTGCTGAAGCGTAAGTGCAGCACAGCCTCATTGTGATGGATCAATGTATTAAGAACTTCACCGGTGTTCACATCCCAGACTCTAGAGCAGGATAAAAATGCACAACATTTAATCATAGAGACAGCCAGGGAGAGACTCTGATGTCTGAGCTCTTGATCTATTCTTAAAGTGCCTAAGTACATGCTTAATGTGCCTATGTACATGCTCCAAAAGAGGACCCCAGCAGCACATTTCTTGCTGAGAAGGTTTCAGAGAAGTCAGCTAATTCAGGCTCTGTTCAGGTTTCTTTGGCACTCACGTACGCAGGCATATGCTGATGGCAAAAATGATTCCTCAAGAAAGCAGGCTATCAGTGAGTCTGAGATGCCAAGAGGAAGGAGGTCTGATAGCTGAGGGATTAAGAACGGTCTCAAGTTTAAGGCTCTTGTTGACCTCTGGCAGGCCACTGAGTCTATTATTTACTGCCTGCAAACTGTAAATCACAATACCTCATCATACTCACTACTTTACTCAACTGTGTTGACAAAGCTAGTGTCTCCCAATGGCTTCACACTTGCAGTATGGAGTTACCAGGACAGCCACTGCAGAGAAGGCAAAGTTTTTCTATAGCCCAATCTCTCTTTAAGACCCGTTCACACAGAGCCAAAGAGAAAAACCTTACATCTGTAAGGCTGAGATGTGATCTGTGGTGGAATTTAACAGCTTGGTGGCACTGAGTCAGGGAAGGGATAGTAGGTGTGCTGTGGGCATGAGTGGAGAAAGACTGGTAAGCAAAATTAACTTAAGGAGGCATAAAAAGGGGGAAAACATGAGAACCCAAGGGCAGATTGAGTTGTTACTATTCCAGCATTGTTAGTGTGCCTATCAAACAGGCCTAAGTGTGCCTAAGTCAAACAGAGGAGGCACTTTCTTCTGCTCCCCGTGCCCTCCCAGCCACCAGCAGTCTACCTGAGGCTTCAGTGCATGACCTATGCCATGCTGGACTCACCCCTTCCCTGTTTCACGCCCCATCAGGATGGGGAAATATGCTGGGCCCCAGGAATGTAAGAGTGGATATCAGTTCTACTCTCTCATCTCCCAACTATCCATCACTGTTCTCCTTCCTTACAGAACAATAGCATTTTCAACTTTATCACTCTACTCCGGGTGTGGCTACTAAAAACTAGTTTCCACTACTAGAGAGGGTACAACAGAGTCTTGACTGATACAGATTCAAGGTTCAAAATGTACTGTGTGATTCTGAATATAGTATCTGAAAATTAATTCTCTGGTCTTACTTTCTTACTATATCTGTACAATGAAGATAGCATCTACCTACATGCAAAGACTGCTGTGAGAACTCAACATTACACAAAATGCCTAGCATATGCTGGCTCTCTCTTTTCTGTGTCCCTCTGAAGCATTTGCAAACAGTCTGATTCTTTTAATACCTGTAGGTTAGCACCCACCATGCTCCTAGAACAGCTGCCTCTTCCTCTTGTGCTCTGGACCACAGACTTCCAAGAGGCAAGCCTAACACCAGGCAATGTGTTTTTATAGAAAAACATGCTGTTACCTCTACAACCTCTGGCAAGAAAAACAGGACAAACTTAAAAATTAGCTTATCTGCCTACACTGCTCAAATGTGTCTACATCAAAAATGGTATTGAAATATAGCAAATAAAAACAACCACAAAGTATGTGTGCTGAACCCAGAAGACAGTGTGCATCTCAGTCTCCTTGTGGAAGGTCAGACTGGTGAAACCAGATCACTCACCTCACCGTAGAGTCTGAAGAGCCAGTTACAATGACACGTTCATCATACTGCAGACAGAGGACAGAGCCTGTGTGCCCTGTTAACACTTTCAAACACTCCAGGCTCGTTTTATCCCAGATCTATTGAGACAAGATCAACCACAAATAGCAATTTAATGCATCACATTTTATTGTCACCCTATGTTCTGAAACATAAAACATACCTGTGTTAAGAGTAAATAAGATAAATCGAATATTAAAAAGGTGGGAAATGAAGAGGAATAGGGGCAATATGGATTAACTTCCACAACAGATGTGCTATTTTGCTTAATTTATACCCTTAGCTACTGTACTCATTACACTTATCAACAGCCTTATAAGGAAATTTTTAAATAAAATCTGTGAAAAGTCAGCTCCTCCTCTGAAAATCAATATGACATCTATTAAGATCCTTTAAATATGCATACCCCCATGGGGCTGTAATCCCTCTGTACTCTCAGAGGCTGAGGCAGGAGCACTTCAAATTCAAGTTAAGTTTGAAGAACTTAACTGAATTACCAAAAACCTGCTCAATATTTTTATTTTTATTTATTTATTTTTTTTTAAGAAATAAAAGGCGGAAAATACTAACACAGACAACATTTTACAAAATAGCAAAGGAGCAGTACAGACATTACAGAGTTACAAATAGAGTGGTAGGGAATTAACAATGCTTATTGTATTACATATTGATATCTTCAAAGTAGTTTCTCATGAAAACAGATATAGACATACAAAGCTGATCAACCAAGGCCTCATTGACAGTTTCTTTCAGCAAGGAAATACAAGACAGTAGAACA